AAGAAAGGTCCAAGATTATATCAGCTTCAAACAATGTGAAGTAGTTCAATACCTAAAGAGAAGCCATACTGTTTACTAAGAAGAAGAAAGGAACATAAAGGACTGCAACTCATTCGTGTTTTTTATTCAGCTGAATTCTTGCCTGCTAATAAGAAAGTTTGTAGAATTCAGGCATTGGTTAAAACAATCTGAAACAAGATTAATGTAAATGTAATAAGGGCAGAGGAAGCTGAGTTTCTTCCTCCTCTCTCCTTGACATCCCTGAAGAAGGTTCTATGAGAATCTGATAACTCAGCTTGACGGTATGTGTTGTGATGCAAAGAACATGGAAAATATCTCAAATTCTGGATGAGGAAAGTTGAAAGGGCTTTATTTAAATATGTATTGACATGAAGCAACTCATTTACTAATTATAATACTTTTAAAAGCTATATACAGTGATGTTTCAAACCACTCTCGTTAAAGTTTTGCCTAGGCATAACAAATGATTTGACCAATTTTGTTAACCCTATTATTTTTGTTCATATTAATGTATGAATATGGTGTGTATTTTTAAGTCAAACCACACTTGCATTTATTTAGTGTTCTGTGAATGAGCAAAGTTCATGTTCTAAATATTATACCATTTAAAAGAATACATTGTTGGATTATTTAAAACACCTAGTTTGGTAATTCTCAATTTGACAAAAAGTCGAGTTTGTGCGGTACTCAAGATTCACGTCAATATATATAAAATTCCATCCATGAACAAAAAGGGAAGGTTTTCTACTTGGATAGCCATTTTTGTTTATTGTCTTAGTAGAATGAAAGAGAAAGGATGCATTGTCTTATTGGGACAAGGTACGGACAAATTTCTATTGCTTTTTTCCCCAATGAAAAATAACGACATTATCTGCCACTGGTGTAATATATGTATGATTTGAAATTACAGTATCAGTTGATTTCATTTATTTATTTTTATTTAGCAAAATTCTACACTGCCTATCTCACCTAAGCAACTCTGGGCAGTTTACAAACAACATGATATAAAAATGACCTAAAGAAACAGTTACAAGCGGTTAAAAAAACAAGGTTAAAATTTATAAGTTCAAAGTAAAAAATCAAAGTTAAAAAGTTAACGGAGCGAAAAGGTGAGCAAGGTGAAGGGAGCACTCTCAAGCCATTCCCAGGGTTGCATAACACTCTTAGAACCCCCTCGTGCTAATTGGTAGCCAGGTCTTTGCACCCTTTTGAAAGTCCAGAAGAATTGGCTTGCCTCACCTTTGGAGGTAAAAGTTTCCAAAGGGTAGGGGCAATTGCAGAGAAGGCCCTCTTCCTAGATCTTGCTGGTTGAAATTCTTTAACCAATGGGATCTGCAGCCTGCTTTCCCTGCCTTATGGGGAGGGGGTGGGGGGAAACAGGTTGATGGTTTGTCAAGTAACTGGTTCCATGCCAGGAAGGACTTTAAAGGGGATAACCAACACCTTAAATTGGACCTGAAAGCAAACTGGCTCCACTGCAGCTTGCCTAGCAGAGGTGTTACTTGCGCTACCCTAGGGGTGTCCGAAACTGCTCCATATTTGGACATCCTTCCAGTCAGTATATTTGAACACACCCTTTGGCAGAGGTAAGTGATTTGAAATAGATAAGATTTGGCTAAAAATCTTTTAATTGCTTTCGGAATGTTTTCCACTCTTCATTGCAAAACTCTTGTAGTGCAAAATATTCTTAGGTCTTAGATACAGTATTGTCCATCTAGATCTTTTCACAAATTTTCAATAGTCAACCCTGAAGACTAAATAGTCTTTCAAACATTTTGTTTCATGTTGATGGTTGATTTGGTTATGTTTTGGACATACTTCTTGCCGAAATATTTAATGCCTTCTCAATTTCAATTTCTTTACTATTTTCCACTTGAGGCTGATGGGAAAAGAAATTCAAAATAGCTGGATAGTGTCAGATTACCTTCCCCTAATCAAAAAGTTTTTATTATTAAGGTTTTTGCAAGACAATGGAAAACAATATATTTAGCTGGCTTCATCTTCGTGATTTCTTGCCTAGGGCTACCAAAACCAGGCTTCAAACATCAGGACACCAACCGGACGGCAAGAAAAATAATAATGTACATTGCTGCCTAGTGGTTGTCTGGATTGTTGCAACCTAGATACGATGGCTCTACTCTTGGTTCTATACAACTGGCTGCCATGAGTTCTATTCCACAGCTCTAGTACTTACCACCAATACATTAGTGAGAAATTTCACTGGTCTTTTACAAATATTAATGTGTACTCCACTAACAATTTACAACAGATAGCTGATTTTAAGGTAAACAATACAAATATTGATAATCTGAATAAAGTTTACATATTCTTAAAAAAAAGGCAACTGGTTCATTGGTAATTTTTAGTGCACATTTTTAAGGTAATAGATCTGAAGTCCAACCTTTTCGAGTCTAGCAAGTAGTAACACTGAATCAACTTTGGCCATACTAAGGACTCTGGAATGGGATATCAACAAGAAATCCCAGTGCTAAATCAGACAATATAGTTGGAGAAATATCTGGGAAAAAGGGACTGGCAAACCAGGTACTGAGAGGGACTTGTCTTTTTTTTCCTACCTTCAGTTTTTGGGAAAATGAGTGCTCTAGCGGGCAGAGCATTGATACAGAGTGGCATATAACTATGCCATGTATATGAGCAGAGTATTTCTTTTTTAGATTTTGGAGGGCTTCTGAAAGATCAACTTTTTAAAACTAAAATTCTTAGAAATGAGGCTAACTGAATTTTGGTAATGTGATTTGAGGGTTACAAAACTGGTATTCTATCCTAACTTTACATACAGTAGTGGCCAAAATTGTGGAAACTTGGGGAAAGTGTATTTTTGAGGTTTGATGGCTAAAATAACACTTTTTTTGGAGTAGTGCCATAAAATTATATGTCAATGGAAAGATAACTTAATCAAGAATGTAATGCAACGTAGTTTGTTCAATTATCTGTACTGTAACCAGAAAATAACCAGAAAAAGGAAGCACAACTTGCTTAGGTTGATATCAGGTAGCTTTCCTTCATCTGATTGTAGCCAATGAGCATGAGTGTTCAGAGAGCCAATCAGGTGTCATCTTGTTTTGGCAATGAGCCAATCAGATCACAGTAGGATTCAGTTATTGATGTCATGTATTGAAGCTGAAAGGACATTTGTCAGTGTGTTATGTGATCAGTATCAAGATGGTTGTTTTTTTTCTTTCATTTAGTGAGCTTGTAAAACATAATAAAATTAAAGTAATGGTGCAAAGAGTTGACTGGTTGCCCAGAAAGCGATGTAAAATAGTATTATTAAGTGAACAAGGCTATAGTTATAAAGAAATTAGAAGAAAAATTGGTGGAAACATAACCAATTTCTACTGTACACTTTTCCCAAAAGGTTTCTACAATTTTGCCCACTACTGTAGCTCCAAGATTGCCACTACGCAACACTGCTACATATTTTGCAGTAGTCCAGATTCTACCTTATATATATAATTGTGGAAAAGGAATTGAGAAAATACTAAGTTAGCTGTTTTGGACCTCTGTCAATTTATTTGATCTATACTTGGCTCTTTTTCTACCAGCTCTTAAAAAACAATTACCTAAATTAAACACACCCCAGGGAGAATAGTAAATTAATTTGTGGTTTGGTTTTTTTCCCTAGTGCCAAGCTTTAGATACAAAATGGATCTTTCCTACCGATATTGTGCTGATAGTAGGCATTTTAAAACAAGACACCCTTTCCACCCACCCACTTTTTCAGCCGTCATCTGGCTTACATGGTACCTGCATCTTCTCCATGCAATAGAATTTTAATTTAGATTGCATTCATGCAGTTTTATTATGTCCCTTTGGGTCCAACTTGATGTTCATCAACTTTATGAAGCACCTACGCTAGTATATTCAGCACAGTTGCCTTGGCTTCAGTTAGAAGTCTTCATCCTGGTTCATCCAAGCTGGGAATAAATAAGCAACATGGCGACTGGTTTGGAAAGATGGTTTATTGAAGAAGCAGAAAGAGCAGAGGAGAGAAGAAGGGGAGAGCACATGGGCAGTAGCTTTTTATACCCTCTAGTTTTTTTGTTTGGAAGTTTCCTCTTCCTGTGGTATGAACTTTGAACTGAATCTGAGTGCTTTTCTAGGCCTTAGTATCTGTGGTTAAGTCCTATTATGTCCCAAAAGTCATCTCCTGCTTCCCTGGGGCTGGGCTAATGACTCTTAAGAGTTTCTTTGTCTTCTTGAGTTTCCTGGATCCAGCCTTCTTGATGGTTTTACGCCTACATTTATATAGGGCTGGCTACTGTTTGGGGGCAGAGAGAGATTTGGGGCCAGGTTTGGTTTCTGCTTTTAAAAAGTCCTTTTGAGAAAAATATTTTTCTGCCTTTTTAATATTTCCTTCTTTGGGCTCTGACTTCCCTCACTTCGATGTTGGTTTTAGCCTACAGCCCCAGGATTTGTTAGCAGTCTCCCCTAAAAATTTAGTTAATCGAGCCTGATCCTTAAGTTTTTGGAGACCAGCTACGGCTGTCCCGGTTTCTTCACATGCTGTGCTTGCAAAGGGGCTGTTCTACTTCCAATTTATTTTATTTTCTGCGCCTTCAAGTCAGTTTTTGATTCCTGGCGATGGCCTGAACTAATCTGTCAGGGTTCTTTGGCAAGATTTCGGACCGGCCCAAGGTCACCCAGCTGACATTGTGCCTAAAGTACCTATAACTCACGTCTCTCGGTTTCTAGCCTGGGGTTTTTAATCAAACTGGTTTTCAGTTATAATTATAATAATTATAATGTGGTTTTTTTTTAAAAAAGAGACTTGTAGCTTGAGCTTTCACTTACTTCAATACTAAACGCACTATGGGTAGAAATTACAGGTACTCAGATAAGAGATTATTACTGCACACCCCGCACGAATCATCATTCGATCCTCGCCAGCAGCGCTGCTGTTCCTTTAATAAGCGGGGTGCCTCTTGCCGTAAAGAGCAGCGGAGGCGTCGTAAAAACCGCGTCCCGGCTGGACCGTAAGGTAGAAGGTGCGGAAGCGCGGTTGAATGGAAGAGGGGGACGGCCAGCGGCGGGGGGAAAGCAGGAGGGGAGGGGCATGTTTCAATTCTGCCCCTCCTCCTCCTCTTCTTCGTTGGTAGAAAGGTCTCTTCCATCCCCCCCACCCCCTGCCCCAATCAAGCCATGCTGACCGCGGCTTGGTTGGTCAAAGGCAGCGCTTGGGGGTGGGGTCTTCTGCGGAGCGCGAGCCCGGGACGGTGTTTGGGGGCTACCGTAGCAGCCGCCGCGGCGAGGAGCCGAAGAGGTGGCGAGTGCTGGAGCGGCCCTCCAGCTAGGCTCGCGGCCTCGTCAAGCAGCCTCGCGGAGTGCCACTCCCCGTCTTTCCCGGGCACGGGTCGACGTCTGCTACTGCGCGTGCGTCCTCCCAGCCCCAAGCATCTAGGCACTGCATCTTGGGCGCCCCCTTTCGGTTGCTCCTCCGGCGGACCTGGGCAGCCTCACTGCTCGCGCGCCGGCTGCGGGGGCAACACCCGGCGCGCGGCGGAGTCCTCTGAACGACCTGATGCTGGAAAAACAGAGCGTCGCGGATACGCTGAACTGGTAGGGGCGGGCAGGGGCAGGCGGTTCCTTCCCCGGCTTGTTCTTCCCTTGGTCGATATAAGTCCAGGCTGTAAGGCGTCAGGTAGCAGGCTCACCCGGTGGACTGCGCCTCCGTAAAATACTTATTAAAATGTTCTGCGACGTAGAAAGCTAGCCTTGGCTTTAGGCTGCTACGTGCGCGTGAAAATAAGCCTGAGCGACTATTTGCAGTCCAAAGCGATGCCTCCTGGAAACAGTACTACAGTGGTTTCGAGAAAAGTAAAACTCGCCTTTTATGTGTCATCCCTAAAGAAGGAAAGTGATTTTTCTCCTTAGGGAGGATGTCTCCTGGCTTTTTGATGTGCACATTTAAACTACAGGTAGTTCTCGACTTCCAACAATTCGTTGAGTGACCGTTCAAAATTACAAAGGCACTGAAAAAAGTGACTTAGGACCATTTTTCACACTTATGACTGTTGCAGCATCCTCATGGTCATGGGATTTACATTTGGATGCTTAACAACTGACTCACTTGAGGGTTGCAGTGTTCCAGGCTCATGTGACTATCTTTTACGACCTGACAAGGAAAGTCAGTGGGAAAGCCAGATTCACTTAACAGCCATGTTACTAATTTAACAACTGCAGTGATTCACTTAACAAATGTGGCAAGAAAAGTCGTAAAATGGGACAAAACTCACTTAACAGATGTCTCGCTTAGCAACATAAATTCTGGGCTCAGTTGTGGTTGTCAGTTGAGGACTACCTGTACTTCCAACACTTACCAGGTTTGTGGTTGCGCAGATTATATCACTGGTGTGTGAAATTGTTCTCTTGGTTTTGCTGCATTTGCTGCATTTAATTACCACGCTGAAAAAACCAATACTATATACATCCACATGACTCTGGTTTTCTGGGTATGACTTGATGCTTGATTTGGGATATATGGGACTGCTAATAACTTCTATTAACACATATGTTGCAATTTTTCTAGCTTCAGAAATAGCACGTAAGACCAGTATGTACAGTATGTGTTCATTTCAAATTATTATTGCAACTTTTTTTGTACCAAAAGTGCTTTTTGAAAAAGCAACTGGACTTTTGTAGGTTTTTTTTCTTTTCAAGGAAAAAAACAAAACAAAGACCAGTTGCCTTTTGGAAAAGCACTTTAAGACAACTGTTAGAAGTAAAGTCTTCATCCTGGTTCATCCAAGCCGGGAATAAATAAGCAAACATGGTGACTGCTTTGGGAAGAAGGTTACAGTTTATTGCAGAAAGATGGTTCTTCAGGAAAGTGCAGAGGAGAGAGAAGAGTAGAGAGCTGAGCACATGGGGCAGTAGGCTTTTATACCCCCTCTAGCCTTGTTTGGAATAGTTTCCTGTTCCTGTGGCATGAACCTTGAGGCTGTTCTTGAGCGTACACAGAGACAGAGAAAAACAAACAAACAAACACATTTTTTTTTCTTCACTCTGTTTGTTGGCCAGACAAACAGAGTGAGGTATTTCCTTTTTGTGGCTTATTTTTAAGCAGAATTTCTAGCAGAATTTAAAATTCTTTTTCCTTTGGATTTGAAACAGTTAATAGTCACATTTACCTCTCACGCAGACTTTGACAAACATATGTACACAAAGACAAGAGAACAGAAGTCTTAGTTTTACACATCCTAGTCATTCCCACCATAAATTTCAGATAACTCAAGTTAGGGAAGGCACACATTTTAAACATACCACGTGGTTGCATAGAGAAGAGAGAGAGATAGAGAGAGAGAGAATCACTATTTCTTATTTTCCCTTTTAAGTACCTTTATTTAGCCAAATTGGTTTCCCAGCAAGGCCCTAAGCAAAGTCTGTATTTTTTTTTTCTTTTCCCCCATATAGTTTCTTTACCTACCTCTTTTCCATTCCGGCCTGGACAGGTAACTGGTTCCTGTCCCAGGCCACGAGCAAGCTCTCAACCGGGAAACCTACTTCCGCCCTTGAATTAGAACTTCCCATGTTTCTATAATGGGATTTCCTTACCGCTAAAGGGCACTATCCGTCAGAAGTCTCCTTGTGAGACTTCTTCCTACTATCACGATTTTGTGAGTCCAAAAAAAAGGGGACTCATGGAGCTTCTCTGGATCCCTCTCAGAGTTCGTGGGCTCCTCCGAGGGATCCTCCACGTTTTCAGACCAAAAAGGGGTCTGCAGAGACCTTCCAGTTTCCCTCAGAAGGTACGGGCTACTCTTCCACCGGCCGGCTTTACCCCACCGTTTACGGACGCCTCTAATGTCCGTGGGCACCTCCACTTGCTCTCGGAGGTAGGTGGTCGCTCCCTTCCTGAGGCTTAATTTCCTAACTTTGCTTTGCTTACAGGGCCTTACCAGCTAGTTGCCCAAATCCAATTCTTTCATTCACTCATTCCATTTCATTTTCACACATTCTCTCCCTTTTCCCTAACAAAAGGTTCTGTGCTCTGGCCAACCCCCATGCTTTCCAGGTTCTGCCAATTAAACAGATCCTTTCTGCGGCTAGGAAAGACCAGAAGCAGCAAAATCCAACTGTGATTGGGAAAAAAAAGTCTTCTCACTCACACAAACAGAAATACACACATTTTCTTTGTTCCCCTGGGCTTTAAACTTAAAATTTAGAGGTACTCACCTTCACCTTCTTTCCAAAGCAGCCCTTGAGCTCAAACTCTCAAAACTCCCTTTACTACCCTAGCTCCACATGGGCAAGGCCTGGGAAACCCATCCACAGACACAAGGGGGTCTGCTGCCGGCAAATGGGGCTTACCAGTCTCAGTCCATTAGAGAGGTTAGCTTGGAGTCCCATCTGGGGTGCCAAATTGTTAGAAGTAAGGTCTTCATCCTGGTTCATCCAAGCCGGGAATAAATAAGCAAACATGGTGACTGCTTTGGGAAGAAGGTTACAGTTTATTGCAGAAAGATGGTTCTTCAGGAAAGTGCAGAGGAGAGAGAAGAACAGAGAGAGGGCACATGGGCAGTAAGTTTTATAACCCCCCTAGCCTTTTGTTTGGAAGTTTCCTGTTCCTGTGGCATGAACCTTGAGGCTGTTTCTGAGTGTTTGTCTAGGCCTTGATATCTGTGGTTTTAATTCTATTATCATATCCTGCTTCCCAGGTGATGGGGCTGACTCCTAGAGTTTGGGTGGGGTATGCAGATCTTCTCTTTTGTCTTGATTGCTCTGGCTTCAACTTTCTTATGGTTTTACATTTGCATTTGTATGGGCCTAGCTCTTGCTTGGGGCAGAGAGATAGATTTGGGGCCAGGTTTGGTTTTAAAAAGTCCTTTTGAGGAAAAATATATTTTTCTGCCCTTTTTAATATTTCTTCTCTGGGCTAACTTTCATCACAACCAATACTTGGATGATTGAGAATCTCCATAGACAACTTTTTTTTGTAGTTATGAAAATCATTTGGTTCCAATGAGAGCTTGTTTCAAACAGCTGGATATATTGACAGACATATTGTGCTTTGGTGAGTATAGTATGTTTTTACTAAGCAGATAAAATCTGCAGTCACCAGCTAATGATGAATTTTAGCAATGGAACCCTCTGAAATTCAGGATTGCCTTCTCTGGGGGACAAAATATGTACTCGTCCAAGGTTAACAGTTATTTGTAATTATTACATGGACTGACATCAAAAGAAATATTTTTTTCAATAGGTTATTTTGGGATAGCTACTGTAGTAAGAAATAGTCCATTAGATTGAAAGAGTTGATATGAGAGTCAGTGTTTCTGTTATATGTTGGACTTGCTGGCTAAAGTTTGTATAAATGTGAGCTTCATAACTATTTGATACAATTTGCTTTTCAGTACTCTGCTGGCATCTTATAGGATTATCCTTATAAATGGCAACTTATTTTCTACCCTCTTTATTATATTAGCATACCATTTGAATATATGTTCTGCCAGCAACGTCCTAAGAATGGCTAAATATGCATGGGATATGATATTGTGTAATATTCTTAGATATATTAATGAATATATTACTGGAAATGAAGCATATAAGAAGATCTAGCATTCCATAAGAAAATCTTACTTTTTGTTTTTAATCATAAATATCCAATGTCTGATGACTCAAAGGCTTTTGTGCATGTGAGAACCATATTTCAGACGTTGATGGGATGACTTTTAAACTTTATTTTATGTAAAATCATTATTTAATATGTAAAATCATTATTTAATATGTAAAATCATTATTTAATATGTAAAATCATTATTTTTGAGGAACTTTAATACTACAATTTTTAAAATAAAATACACACAAAAACACATATTCGTTCATTCACTCATTCATTAATTCATCCATCCATTTATCTGTAGAGGGGATTATAACCCTAAGATTTTTATGACCAGCTGGCTGAGGAATTCTGGGAGTTGAAGTCCACAAGTCATAAAAGGGCCAGGTTTGAAGACCCCTAATGTAAGAGGTTTAATGTCAACAAGGAACTGAAGTTTTGCAGCTTACAGTTTGTTTGAAAGACAGTAACTCCTAAGGAGTTTAGCTTATATATGCCTGAGGAAGATCCCTACATCCTTCTGTCAATTGTTGAGTGAGTTGCTAAAAATGGAACTTAGGAGAATTTGTTCAAAGTTCAAATTTGTTCAAAGTTTGTTTAAAGTTTGTTTGAAAAGGGACCTATAGGGAAGAAGCTCCTTTATATAGTGTCTTGAAAAACCCTGAATATTTAAATGTCTAAAATGGGACCTGGTTATTTCAAGAGAATTTCAGGAAATTTTATGTCGCTTTGGTACTTGTTAAAGAAATGTAGGGGTGTCAAACTGCCGGCCCTGCGGGCTGGTTTCATCATACCAAAGCCACGCCCACCCCATTGCCGGCAATGCAAAAAGAGTCGTGAAATGTCACGGAAAGGATGTTATAATTGTTAGGAAAATGATCACATGAAAACTGTTATTTCAGGAAATCAGTGACTGACAAACAAGAAATACTGCAAATAATTAGTCACAAAAAATGTTAAATGAAGAGGTGTATCAATGTGGATTCTTTTTTTATCACAGTTGAGTTGAGTTATATGACAAGGTAGCTTGTGATTGTTGGTAACCTAAAAATTTAGGACTGGTGGACATAAGTGTCTTCTCATCTACAGTATCATAAGCTCAGAATTGATGAGCGTGGAGGAAACATGGTCTCTAACTAATGTGTTAAAGCAGACGGTTAGGAAGCCAAGATCCTTTTAGATTACTAACCACAAAAGAATCTCAGTGGAATAGACATGAGAAAGGTTTTTTTTTTGAAGTAGACATATCCATCACAAGGAGATCCCTGTCCTGTTTTGTTCTGAACATTTTTCAGAGGAGTTGAGATCTGTGTAGCTATTTCCTTTTATTAATCTGATAATCAGTTCATTTGCTGTTCAGAAGAAGAATTTTTACCTTGATATAAGAATCCCCAAAAGATTTGCAACAATTCAAAAACAAATCAACCCTTTTCATTTGGTCGATGTCATGGCCCATTTTTGTTGCTTATAGAGTGGAAGTTGGTCCCTGCAGCGCTTGAATGGGAGAGATAGGAATAGCTGGTTATCCAGAACGGAGCCTTCTTTTTGGAAGTTAGTAGTTAAGAGAATTCTTAGAAAAGATACATACATTCCAAAGCAGCAATTAAATACATCAAACATGCAGAATTTGCCTCTTACCTTCTATAATATCAAAGTACATTATATTCAGATTATTTATATTTGTTTTGTAATATTTTTTTCTATGCTTTTTTTTGTTGTTCTAGTATGAAAACCCTTGGACTATCCCTAATCTACTTTCAGTGGCAAGGATTGGTTTGGCCCCTATTTTGGGCTATTTGATTATTGAAGAAGATTTTAATGTAGCACTGGGGGTGTTTGCCCTGGCTGGAATAACAGATCTGGTAAGTCCTTTATATTTTACAATGTTTTATGAAAACGAGACTTTTTTTTCCCTTAAAAGTGAGTTCAGAAATATTTTCAAATTCAGGTCTGTAGTCTTGAATATGATTTTATAATTAGCTAGTGCTAGGTGTATTATCAGGAGCTCTTGGAGAAAAAAAAGATGGGATATAAATCTGACAGAAATGTAAATGTTTGGTTTCTTTCCCATGCTGTTTGTCTAACTTGCATTTTCAGTTGGACGGTTTTATTGCACGAAACTGGGCCAATCAGAAATCTGCCTTGGGAAGTGCCTTGGACCCTCTGGCTGATAAAATCCTTATCAGTATCCTATATATTAGCTTGACTTGTGCAAATCTTATTCCAGGTAAGCAAAGAAACTGTCTTTTAAATGATTCTTCTTGTTGAATGATCTAAAAATAATGAATTGTTCAATATTAGAAGCAAATCTCTTTTAGTTTATTGGCACAGTTCAATACCTCAGTATGTTGATACCATAGTTCTATAGTATTCAACCTTCATATAATAGTCTAAACCAGGAGTCTTCAAACTTGGCCCTTTTATGACTTGCGGGTTTCAACTCCCAGAATTCCTCAGCCAGCGTGCCTGGCTGAGGAATTCTGGGCATTGAAGTCCACAAGTCATAAAAGGGCCAAGTTTGAAGACCCCTGGTCTAAACAAATCCAATGGAAAAAATGCAATACATAGGGAGTACCAACAATCAGGCCCCATGGGCCAATTTTATTAAAAAAAGTTGAGACAAAATGTTATTGTATTTAGTGATGCTCAAAAATAATGTGTAAAATGAAAAAAATGACTTAGGACCATTTTTCACACTTATGACTGTTGCAGCATTCTCATGGTCAAATATGCATTTGAAAGAAAATGGCATCCAATTAGAACATTTCATGTAATATACGTTGTATAGTTAATGAATTATAGGGCTTTAATTCTGGTATATCCTGTATGTCCATGTTGTTCATTGAAGTAATTTTTCTGATTTCATTTTATTATCTAAAATAAATTGCTGAAGTTTAAATAATGTTGTAATTCTAAAGTGGTGGTTGATACAGTCAGAAGAGATTATACTATATAGCATTTTCATCTGCATTACATTGTGATTTATTTTGAGCTATATGTTCTCCTTTGAAGGCAGATTAAGGTTAGAAAAATGATAGATAGCAAACAGTAATAGATCTTGTGTATTTTGTTCCCTCTTACCCAGGTTAAGGTTATCCCCTTCTAGGGAAAGAGAAGAGGCAGCCAAGTGCTGTAGATGTATGCTGCTTTTGCCCAGGCCAGAAACTAAATGCATTGTTCAGTTACAGCAACCACTGTAACTTATCTGTGTTGTTTTTGTGGTAACGAGTCGGTAGACCAGAGGTCCCCAACCTTTTGGGCACCAGGGACCGGTTACGTGGAGAGAGGTTTTTCCGTGGACTGGAAAGGGCGTGGTTTCATGTACTCCCTGCATCCCGCAGATGGGGCTTTGCTTGTTTGTGTGGACCGGTTTTTGGCATGCTGCGTTCTGATACTGGTCCACAGACAAGGGGTTGGGGACCCCTGACAATAGAATTAAATAACAGTGATTTAGACTGTCTACTAATCAGTCTTTTACAGCAATCCACATGCTGTAAATTGGAATTATTTTTACGTAGCCTCAATCTGACAGCCAGTTTGGTGCAACAGTTGAAGAACCAGGCTAGAAATCTGCAGACTGTGAGTTGAAGTCCCATCTTAGACACAAAGCCATCTGGGTGATCTTTGGCCACTTGTTCTTAGCCCTAGAAAGAAGGCAATGACAAACTGTTTTCTGAAAATGTTGCCAAGAAAACTGCAGGGACTACCAGAGTCAGGAGTGAACTTTAGATATATTTAAGAAGACTTTCACTGTTTGTTTTTCAGTTCCTCTTACATCAATGATAATTCTAAGGGACATTACATTAATTGCTGCTGTTTTCTATGTTCGATACAAAACTCTTCCTCCACCGGTAAGTATCCTGCCATGTGTTAATATGCGTTTGATAGGAAATCAAAGCAGTCATAGGATAAACAGCATATGTAAAAATTGTTCCCAAATGCAGGCTTGCTAAAATAGGAACCAGACTTATTTTTTTTTCTACACAGACAATGATAGAAACAATGTTTGTTTGTTCGTTTGTTTTTTTGTCACAAAGAATTAGGGAGAGAAAGGGATTCCCTTCCTCCTTCCTTATTTGGTCTCTCTCTCTTGTAGTTTGTATTTCTGTCCATGACAGATCTTTCTTTGAATGCTTCCAGAGGACAGCATTCCCTTATCTTCTGCCTTTCAGATAGAACTGTGACTCTCCAAATTCCCCTTGGGCTAGAAGTCTTGAACTGTGTGTGCTAATTTCCTTATAATATTTTCCCAGCCTTTCACTTGAGTGTTTACAAAATTATAAAAATACTCTCTCTGACCTTTCAGTAAAAAAAATTAAAGAGCATACATAATCTTTGTCCATCAGAATGGCAATTTTCTTTGATTCTCCATTATTTCTTCATTGCTATATCTTGCTACGCTCTACTTGTTAAATGGCTCCAAGTTTCCTTTTCATTTTCAAAATCTTGTTCAAGCTTCAGAATTGTCAGCTTGTCCACTCTGATCTCATCTTTTCACCATCTATCTTCCTGTGACCTTTTCTTGCCCAGCATCTCATTCTCAGCTGCAGAAGAGTCTCCTACTTTCCCACTGAAATGATGCCATTTCCGTTCCTATTCCTAAACTTTTCTCTCAGAATGTCTGTTTGACCACTTCCCTTACTTCCATGTTGTTCCTGAAAACAGCCTTTTAAAGAGGCATTGTCATTCCAGTTATCCTACTGAATTAAACCAAAATATTATTGAAATAATCACAGATCTTCTCCTGTAAATCCTATGTTTCTTTAGTCCCATTTGTTTCCTTAATTTAATTTCTTGTAAGCCATCTTCCCTGTAAAGCGGATGTAGACAGTCTAAGCCTAAGGCATAGGCAGCCTCTATAGCGCCCAAGGATTGCACCATTCAAATGTCAATGGCATAACTATCAGATAATTTTTCCTGTTTGTTTTGTTGCTGAAATAAAGAACAGGGACTCTACTAAGCTCTGCTGGCTCCATGCATTCATTTTGTACTTTAAAATTGGGTGTACTGGTGACGGCTCTGGCCTAAAAACCAAAAGACTGTGAATTCTAGTCCCACCACAGATTTTCACTCTCTCAGAAAAATGCACCTCACAGGGTTATTCCTGTGGGGAAAGTAGGAGGAGGAAGGCATATTAGGTATGTTCACCAGTTTGACTTATTTATAAAAGAAACAAATATAATATAAAATAGTATTAAAAAAATTAAACACAGAGACAACAGTGTTCTAAAACAAGTTAAATATTTGAGCACAAATCCATTTTCACTATCTCTCCTAAAGCTGTGAAAATCCCAACCCCCTTTTATACTCTGATTGCCTACAGAATATGTCAGATGAAGAATTACACTGTTAAATATAAGCATAAAGGCATAGAATAAATATGCTGTGTTGCTAAAAACATCAGGTCGATTTTATCAGTTCATAAATTTAGTAAAGGCTTTGTTTCACCATGTTTATTAAAAGCAAGATTAATTTTTTTCTTTCTCACAGAAGACATTAAGTAGATATTTCAATCCATGCTACGTCACTGCTCAGTTAAAACCAACATTCATCAGCAAGGTAAGAACAACAGTATGTCATGCTGTGTCCATTTGGCAAACTGAATATTGCCTTACAGCATCATTTTTTTTTTTTTGTATCCTGCAATTTGATTGTCTTTCATGACTTAAACACGTAGGCCTCATTTAATGATCATTTGTCCAGTGACTGTTTGAAATTATGATGGTGCTGAAAAAAATAGACGTACAGTTGATCCTTGCACTTACCTCTATCACAGTGTCCCTGCAGTTACACAAACAAGAGTCAGGCACTTGGCAACTATCACAAATTTATAACAGTTGTAATATCCCACCTTTCTTCCTTCCCCCCCCCTCACATCTATGCCCTTTTGGCTGCTCTGCTGGAAAGGTGGCAAGTATACAGTAGCCTCTTCATCTCAACCATACGGGTAGTCCTTGATTTACAACTGTGCATTTAGTGACAGTTCAAAGTTACAATAGCACTAAAAAGAGTGAGTTAACAACCATTTTTCACATGACCATTGCAGCATCCCCATGGTCATGTGATCAAAATTCATATGCTCAGCAACTGGTTCATATTTATGGCGGTTGCAGCATCCCAGGGGGGTCATGTGATCACTTTCGGCGACCTTCTGACAAGCAAAGGCAAACAGGGAAGCCAAACTGATGTAACAACCGTGTTATTAACATCTGCAGCGATTCATTTAACAATTGTGGCAAGAAAGCTTGTAAAGTGGGGCAAAACTCACTTAAAAGCTGTCTTGCTTAAGCACAGAAAATTTGGGCTCAGTTGTGGTGGTAAGTCAAGGACTATGCGCTGTGCAGAGCAGAGCAGCTAAAAGAACAGAGATGAGGGCAGGTGGGGGAATGTTGAAGCAGAGGCAGCGCTGTTCCCACAAGGCAGGCAGGAGAAGGGAATTGGCCTCTTCAGGCTCAGTGATCCCCTGCAAGCGTCTCTTGCCTTAGATGAATTGGGGCTGGGAGGGACACAACCAGGATTGGCTTGAATGGGGATGGGTCTTCACCTAATAACTGTATGAGATTTGCTTAACAGTGGCAGCCAGGACTGCCGAAACTGCCATTGTGAAATGGTACGGTCACATGATATTCCACTTACTGACAGCTTTGCTAGCAACAGAGTTGCTAGTCCCAGTTCGGGTTGCTAAATGAGGATTACCTGTAATCTACTGCCCCAGTCAGATGTGGAGGACATGGAATATGAACGAGAACAACAAAGAATGAATGACGTCCATAATGAGAGAAAATGTGGCAGTGGTTTGTTCACTGAAAGAGAATGATGCCCGAATGGCAAAACAAACATGTAAAGGAAGAGTGAACAGGCAAAGAGAAAGAAGGAGACAAAGTTATGGGTGGAATCAGTTGATGGGATCCTCAAAAAGTAAGCAAAGGCAACCAATGGTGACTTGCAAAGACAGAAAGATGAATTCTGCTGGTGTAAATTAGATATAGTTGTATTTTCTTTCCTGTATTATATCTTTAATGTATTTGGTTTATTCTTCCATACTCCATTTCTGTGATTTACATTACATTGCTTACACTGAAAGGGAAGAGCATCATGGGCATGTATTATATGTGTAGTACTTTTTCTGGGAAAGTTCACAATGTGACCTTAGTTTTAATCTAATCTATTACCAGGTGAACACAGTAGTACAGCTCATCTTAGTAGCAGCTTCTTTAGCTGCCCCAGTTTTCAATTATGTGGACAGTGTGTATCTTCAGACTTTATGGTATGTAACGTTACAATTTTTGTTATACTATTAATAAGTGGAAAAACAGGCAGTGTAAGGAGTACAATGAAAGCTTGTGAGATTCAAGATAGTTCATGAAAGCAAGAAGAAACATACAATAAAAATAGGAGCTAGCACAGCAATGGTCTATTTAAAAAGCAGCTTTCATACTGTAAGCCCATAACATTTGATGGCTAATGCTTTCACTGTTCTCATGTTAGTATTGGGTCTAAGTGTATTGGATTCAGAGATGATTTATTTTAAGGAAGATAGTTCCACCTGCTTCTTCACTAGTTCCTCTCCAATTCAGACATACATACATATGCAATTCTTCCTGCCTTGTGAAATAGCCAGGCTAAGTATAGGTTCAGTGTGTTGGTGGCAGAACCCATACAGTGCTGCCAAGTTTCCAGAAGCTTAAAAAAAAGTCACATTTTTTAAAATTTCACAAATAATAAAGGTCAGAAAGCCCTGTGGATTCTTTAGTCAGCTTAACCCAGCAAATGAGGAAATGTATAATTTTTACTCAACAATTTGAACAACTCTAGAGTCAAATTAGATGGTCACAAACTAAAAGGTGAACAGAATTACAACTCCAAGGTATCTTTTCTAAGGTTGATTTAGATTAAAATGTAAGTATATGTGGGATTACAATCCTAGCAACATAAAAAACTCACTGAATTATGTTCTTATAGAAAGAGTTTGATTGATTTAAGGCAGAACTTACATTGCCGTGGCATTCTTCTGCCATGTGGTATGATATGTCGATTTTAAAAAATATTTTGGCTTAGGTGGAATTTTTTTGGAATTTCTAGCATTTTACATAGCTCAGCTTTATATATCAGATTTTAATTGTCATAGCAAAAACAGTTCCACCTCACGTAGGTTTTTAAAAATTGTGTTGCAGTGATTTTTAGACTTGATGTTATCTCATTTTTTGCTTGGAAACTAAAATAATCATTTTCTCCCCGAAGGTGCATCACAGCTTTCACAACAACTGCATCTGCATACAGTTACTATCATTATGGTCGAAAAACAGTTCAGGTGCTAAACGATAAATGAAGTTTTGCAGAATGACTGTTCTCCTCTCATTCAATTTGTGGGGAGTTTATGCAGAGACTCTGAATGATACTTTTGCCTATGCCTTCACGGTGTGAAAATGAAGTTTTGATCATGTAAATAAGCAGAATTTTCAGTGTATTATTTCAATCTATTACAAATAAAATATAATTTTTTACTGTACTGAACTTACATATATATAAAGATTATTGTCTGATATTTTTTGTTGATTGCTGTCCAGAAATTTGCACTTGGTGTGGGTCACTTGCCTGTTTCCTTTGGTGTATCTCAAATGAAACAGTTATATGAAATAATTAATACAAGCAGAATTATTTGAGTTTTAGTGTATTTAAAATGCGGTATGATCGATGAAGCAGCCTATTACTACAATAGATAAATGTAATAGAGCAGGCAGTAAATTCTACAGAATATAGCTACAGTATGATCTTTATAAGCCTTCATAAACCCTTCTGGTTTAAATATTACGGTTGCAATAGCCCTTTAAGATAAAACTTGGGTCACTTCCTTCTTAGTCTAATATTGGGGCATACTTTATTTAGGAAAGAGCTGCTTTAATTGTTCCAGTGATATGCTAACATAGTTTTGTTAGATTGTTTTGAAAGGTGACCAATACATAAAACATATAAGTATGCAGATGCAAAATAGAGAATCAAAATAGTTGATTTTCCAAGGCTGCTGATAAAAATGTTCTCTGAATTGGGCCAGCAGAATAGTTAATGTTGAAATAAGGGCAAAACTTATGTGACAAACTTAATAATCAGATGTCCTATGAAACAGATTATTTGATTGTGGTTTCTTAGTTCTGCTTGTACTGTAAGATCTCAGTCCCTGGAGATTGTCCTGGCCTGTTTTACAGGCTGTTTATAAGGAGTATAACAAAATGAGTGCATATATCATTTTGTAAAGATTTTTATAAGTGTAAGAAACTTAATAGGGGAAGTTGGTCTATCTTATGTGCAATCTTTCGTCTCAATTTATCAAACTATTTTAAGACTGTAGGAAAGGTGAAAGATTAATACAATCTGAAGAGCGAGCAGAGTCTATTTTAAGACTATAGCAACTTTTCTAAAGCATTATTTGTCAGTAGAAGGGAAAATATTATGGCTTTGAATAAATTTACACTGTATTGCAGGTATCATTATCTAGACAGCTACCTTTTGCCATAATACCAGATAGCTAAGAAAATGGGTAATAAAAGTAAAACAAGAAAGGCCCTTCTTTGATCTTGCTGACATGAACAAGATGTTGAGGTTTCTGTGAGAAAAAGTTTGCAAATCTGCATGTTAATGATTAAGAGCTGCAAACATCAAGTATGATATTTGTTAAAGCATAGGAAGTTAAGGACAAAAGTCTTAAGCCACTGTATATGTGACTCTAATGCTTTGCCCGTTTGATTAAATACAGGAATCAAAACAAAGGATAACAATTATGCATACAGGTAGTCCTCAACTTATGACCCCAACTGAGCCCAAAATTTATGTTGTTAAGTGAGAAATTTGTGAAGTGACCTTTGTCCAATTTTACAACTTTTCTTGCCACATTTGTTAAGTGAATCACTGCTGTTGTTAAATTAGTAGCACTGTTGTGAAGTGAATCTGGTTTTCCCCATTGACTTTGCTTGTCAGAAGGTCGCAAAAGGTAATCTCATGACCCCGAGACACTGCAACTGTCGTAAGTCTGAACCCGGGGTCAAGCATCCAAATGTAAATCATTTGACCATGAGAATGCTGCAATGGTCATAAGTGTGGGAAAATGGTCATAAGTCACTTCAGTGCTGTTGTAACTTCAAATAGTCATTAAGTGAACTCTTGTAAGTCGAGGACTACCTGTATTTAGCTCCAGTTTCCACAATAGCAGAATTTAGGCTATTTTTTTTTAAATAAAAAATATTTAATATATCAAATATTTTTTGATATGTTACAGAATTGGATCAGACGTGCTTAATGATGTGCGAACAAATAATGTTTCACATGTGGTAAGCAATTACCTGAATATAAAAATACCTGCTAAGCTGAAAATAATGTGAAAATATTGCATTAAACAGCACAGTAGAAATGGTTTTGCTGTAGAAACGAAGGGTGAGAGTCGGAATGGTTGGAATATTCTATGCATTATACAGTATTTTTAAAACACATTTTATATATCTCAATTTTATAAAGTTTATATGCTGAAAATATTTTTTGATAGTTTATACAAAATCAGGCTGCTGCAATCTGATTGTATTGCGGTCTATAAAGTTTTCCCCCTATTTTATCAAGAGAAAATAGGCGATATGCTACAAAACCACAGAATATATTATATTCCTTCAACCAGATAAGCATAAATGTTTCCAATGCCAAAATGCAAGAAATTTGAAAATGAATACTTATGCATGTTTGTCTACAGTCGTTGCCTTTGCACTTTCAAAATAAATCCTTTAAACTACTTCACTGTGTCTAATTGTGTTGAGTGAACCCTTTTCAAGCATGACAGCAGCTGGTGCTGCCATAGTATCCCTCACATTGTCATAATCAGGGTGCAAAAGATTTAGGTAGGTTGCTCAAAGATGTACAATGACCACATCACAGGATGTCCATATCGAGCTGATAAGAGAATATTAATATTTAAGGCCGTAATGGCTTTGTGTCTGACTCTCATGTTAAAATCTGCAGGAGAGGCCCTTTTTAAGATGCTTTACTTTTCAAAGGGTGCACTTCTTTTAAGAGGCAGCCTCGTCCTGTACATTTAAAGCTAGTCTCTTTAGCCAGCCCTCTAAAATAACAAATACGATACTTCCAATTTTAAGCATCTTTTATATTTCTGATGCATATTTTACATCGATTTGACTGTCAATAGAACTTAGTTTTCATCCTGGTTCCCTGTCATTTTAGGGATGTATTCCTTGGCATGGCATTAATGTCACGTGGTCAGGAGAAAGTTGTGTAACCTGGTTTAAAATATGCTGATTAAAATTCCCAACAGAGGCGCTGTTTATTTGCTTGTTCACAGTTGTTCACAATGTTCTTTATTCCAACCTGATGTCTTCTAGCAGCTGAAATTGCAGCTATGCGGGAAAATTAATTACTCTATGCTGCCTAGGAACTAAATTTCTTATTTTGGTTCTTCATTATAATGCCAGAATTATCTGTCAGCTATCTGATCATCATCTGTTCCAACTCTCATTGACATGACACTTTCCATGCCAAATGAAACAAATAGATACTTGAAACCACGAGAAAATAGTCTGATATTTAAAATCTTATTCTATAAAAATGAATTACATTTTTTTTAGGATAATCCAGATAGAATAAGAAGTTAAATCGGCTTGTCTGAATACACATTTATTGTATAGAGCAGGGGTGTCAAACTGCCGGCCCGTAGGCCGGTTTCATCATACCAGAGCCACGCCCACCCCATTGCCGGCAATAATAAAAAAGCTCTGATATGTCGCGTGATGTCATGTGGTAAAGAGATTGTAATGTTTAACATTTCTAAACTTTTGACATTTTCTTATAAAGTGTTCAGACTTAACAGAAAGATTCCTTCATATCTAAGATGTGCAAGGAATAAATGTATGTAGCAAAATATTTAATATTTTATCATTGACAAAAGTAAATAAATTGAGTGAAAATAGCAAGATACACAATTGATCTTTGAATAAATGCCACAAATAGTACATTCTAGTTTAAAAGTAACTTTGCATAAACATTTACTCTTCAGTAAGAAGATGAAATAATTTCATTTGGAGTTTAAGAAAACAAATTAAAACAAGGAAGGCAAAAGCTGGGATGCTATTTTTTCTTTTTTAAAAAAAATCAGAATTAAAAAAAAATATTAATCCCAACGTTTAGGGCTCATTCTGGAAATTAAGGCAGAGATCATATGCATAAATTAAATCTGTTGGAGAAAATAAACATTCTGACTTTTAAGTGATTTCGGTAAAGAAATTATGCTTACAGCTTAAACCTAAACATATTTATTTGGAAGTTTAACAGGGCCTGCTTCCTGAGCAGACTGTTCAGATATTATGCCTTTTTCTACAGTTCTTCATACACTTTTAATAGTAATCCCCACTGGAAATAATTAGATTTATTTTTAAACATTGAAATTAATCAAAAAGGAAGACTAGTTTTTCCCCCCAAATACGGCTTTTATATTGGAGAATTCTGTAATATTAAGAATTCCAGGCCTCTCCCTCAAAAATATTTCTGAAGTTAATAATTGTGTAAGTCAGAGTGCAGCTGTGTAATTTCTTCTAGTGTTCAAGTGGAATACTTAGGATTGTGTTTTTCATATGTGTCTGGTTAAACCCCACTAAGCAAACCCCAACAGGAAATCAACTCCATAGGAAGGCTAAAATCATTTTTGTGAGATTGGCTGTAATATCCAAATCTTGCAAATCTGAGTTTCCATCCTCCTATTCTGAATCAGGGAGGCCTATGTGAGCCACTTCTGAATGTTATTTACCTGTTGTGGATTTAAAATATATTTCACACACACTCCTGTTTGCCCTAGTGATAGATGTTGCCTAGGTAATCCTCGACTTACAACCACAATTGAGCCCAAAATTTTTGATGCTGAATGAGACATGTGTTAAGTGGGTTTTGCCCCATTTTATGACCTTGCCACAGTTCTTAAGTGAATCACTGCACTTAAGTTAGTAACACAGTTGTTAGGTGAATCTGGCTTTCCCATTGGTTTTGCTTGTCAGAAGATTGCAAAAGGTGATCACATGACTCCGGGACACTGCAACTGTTATAAGTGTGAACCAGTTGCTAAGTGTCAAATGGATCACTTGACATAGGGCAGGGGTAGGCAACCTTGGCTCTTTTATGACTTGTGGACCTCAACTCCCATAATTCCTGAGTTAGCATGGCTGATTCAGGAATTCTGGGTATTGAAGTCCACAAGTCATAAAAGAGCCAAGGTTGCCTACCCAACATAGGGATACTGCAATGGTTGTGTAGAAAACATTCATGTCACTTTTTTCGGTGCTGTTGTACCTTCCAATGGTCACTAAACAAATGTTTGTGAGTTGAGGACTACCTGTATACCTATCTGATTAATCATTCTCCGTGGGTTTCTTTTCTGGTTTCACCTATAACGTGTGACATTCAGCATCCTCAGGTCTTCGGATGGACCTAAATTTGCATTTTGGATCCTGATCCCAGCAGACAGAATACACTATTGACAACAGATCAGATCTGATCAGGAAAAGTAAGATCTACTATCTACTTACAGTAAATAGGCAGAGCATGGAAACAGTAACACTTCCAAGTGAAAGAAACAACTTCTTTCAGCTGTTAAAATCTCTCAACATTTTGTCCTCAGTTTGTCCTCAAGCTGTGATGCCAAATATTTTCATAATGATATCCCATCCTCCCTTGGCAGCATGCTTAGGTGTCACTGCTCAAAAACATCCTCTGTGGAGTCAAGGAAATATAGTTGGATTTATGCAAATGTGGCTCGGAGGCACTTTCCACAGCAGAAATAGGTTGTTATGAGTATAAAATCCAGCCTGACACTAATAGGGAAAGATGGGAAGGGATGAAAGTTCTTGGTTTCCATGAAATACGTAGCGTAAGTGGTATTTTTATGTCCTTGGATGAGCTTTCTCACTCCAACATTGTAACTGTCTGGTACTCATATTAAGCTATCCTGAAAAATCAATCTTAAAGAAAATGTTCATATCCAATGGATCTGGGCCACGATCGTTTAATAGTCTTCCATCATGTCCACTCTGGAGAGCTGAGGAAATCTCCCAAAGGACAGGCACAGTAGCGGCTTCAAGAAGACAGGGAAAAATCAGTTTCTCATTCCTACTGACAAGTCTGAAGTTTCTGCTAATTGGATTAAATGCTGAATTTAAGTCCTTCCTCCTAAAAATAGTCTAAATTTTGAGGATTTGTGGTAGTTGTTCGATATTTTTCCATTGTTTTAAATATTGAAAAATAATTTCTGATCACTTCAATTGGGAGAGGAAATTTCACAATGAGAAAGCAATACTAAAGCAAAACAATTGGGGGGAAAAATCATCACAGTGGGTAAACAGTTTACAACGATGGCCTATATTTGCCAGTCTCATTGCCTGGATTTATTTTATGGAATAATCAAAAGCAGGATTTTTATAAGATACTAGATGTGTGTTATATTGCTCTATGTGCGGTGTCTTATATTTTTTGCACAGGCATACTGACAGTAATATGGTAGCTATGAGAAAGATCCCACTTGTTGCACACAGAGCCGCAAAGATAGATGTGTAGCTGGACTTTGTTACAAAGGTGCTACATGGAGCGTTATGCTCATTCCAGGCTGCAGTGTGGCTTGATCCTGCCTTGTTCCAAGCAATTATGCATACTTGGTAGGTGGAACCAGGCAGAAGGTTATAAAGAGTGTATCGCCTAGCAGTGGCATAAATCTCTCCAGAATTTGTGTAATTCTTTTTGCTGCCTTTAGGACGGTAGGCAAGCTGATAGAATCTTACTGCAGAATTTGGGGAACACCAATGGATCTGGGCTGAAGTGTCCCTCATTTCAGATACTTCATGAAATCTTGGAGGATCTGGGATGGTGAATTCATCCGACATGCCTGGGCACAGGCAGGAAGACAACTTTTGGAGGTCAACACAAGGCTTCTGGAGATGCCTGCATGGATCATAATCACACAAATCCATGGTCTGGGCTACAGATGCCACTTGCTGGTTTTCATAGTCATAGTCATCTGTATAATCTGGTAGACTATTAGTAGATGCAAGGTTTGAGAAGGCGGTAGATTTGGTGGGATCCTGAAGGGATAGATCATTCTCATTTGAATCTGTGCTTCTGTATGAAATGAACAAATCACTGGAAACTTCGGAGGAAGATGTTCCTGTCACTTCAGTGGTAAAACTGTACAAAGTAGACTGGTGCAGTGTTATGATATCTTGTTCCCTTTTATTCATTTCAGTTGTGCTCACTACAGGTTGCTCAGCAGAGAGTTTTCCCATGATTGTTGAGAACTCTGTTGTCAGAGGTACAACAGTCAATGGTTGATTAGTAGATCTATGACCTGCATGCTCTTTATAAGCAAGAATGTCTGCCTTACTTGGATCCTTCCACGTTAAATCTCTCCAGGTAAAAGATGTGCTTTGAGGGGTGAAGGAATCGCTGAGAGACTTTTGAGGCAAAGTACTGGAGTTGGCTAATATTTCTGTAGCGATGCTGGTAAGGGTGTGGTAAAGTTTACCTTGAACCAAAGATGAGGCTGAATGTGTGGTTGTCTGAGCTTGACACTTATCATAAAGCTTGGATAACAGCATAGATGAAGATGTTTCTTTATCTTCTGGAGAAAAATAGCACATGGTTTCTGATGCCCTAAAACAAAATAGTAGAGGCCAAATCAATCAAGGTGTGCTACAAGGAAGCAGAAAGATGTAACATGTAAAATACCATTTATTGTCCTATAATATATCCTTCATTTGTACTTCTGTATTTTTGTGTGAATGGTTTTTAGCACTCTAGCTCCAGTGTAAAAGTTCAGCGTTGCCTCTTACGCTATTATGGTATGACGTGAGATGAGGAATAGGAGGAATAAGAGTGAGTTCTATGAAATCTATGAAAGAAGTCAAGTCCCCTGTGTAAAAGAATCTCTAGGAAGTCAGTTTGTGTTGATCAAAGCCCAAATGGTCATTTTTCTAAATGTGGAAGGCACAGGTGTTATGGGACTAGGGATATACAGTATATGGCACTGATGGCGAACCTTTTAGAGACCCAGTGCCCAAACTGCAACCCAAACCCCAATTATTTATCATCGGGTGCCGAGTGGGCATGGCTACGGTGGTCATGGCAGACTGGGTGGGTGGGGCCAGGGCGGCAGGGCCCAGTCCCTCGCCATCTCCGGGGCACAGCAGGCATGCCCACAGAAAGGGCTCTGAGTGCCGCCTCTGGCATGCGTGCCATAGGTTCACCACCACTGGTATATGGCTTCTGATTGGTAAGCCAGGAGGAAGACACTCCCCAGAGTAGGCAGAAATGAGAGTTAAAAGGGGGTCATAAAACAGTTAACACAATCTCTTCTTTTGAAGTTCATTCCTGCAATATTAAAAGTTTTAATTTTAATTTTAACTTTTCCAAGCACTCCACAGGCTCTACCAAGGCTTTGAAGACGGGAATGTCAGGTTGTGCCCTTTTAATCCAAACCAATTTACCTTATAGCTACAGACTATCCCTGTTCCTAGTACCAGTTTCCATCGTATGAAACTGATATATGAGAACTTAATAATTAATGTTCGAATGTAGGCCTTACTGTCGGTTTAGTTCAACAGGTTAATCAAAAGTAATAAAATGAAACAAAACTTTGCAATGGTTTTAAATTAGTGTGGTTTCAGATTTTTGAGATTCTCTGGTCGCCAATTGTTTGCTGCAGTAAAGAACTGGGTGGACTTGATCGACTGACTTTAAAAGCCTTCACTGAGAACTGTCTCTACACTCTTAATCATCCTTATCATTTACGCCCCATTTAACGTGCAATACACCGCTTAGTCTGTTTGTCCCTGTGTGCAGGTTGTGATGAGAACCAAATTACAACTGATGGGTCTGTGCTCCCCTATCTGAGAGTTATGTTAGTCTTTAAACATGACCCATATAACTTTTCAAAAATGGCAAAACTCTCAATTCCTGGCAAATAGATGGAGAAGAAATGGAGGTAGTGACAGATTTTATCTTCCTGGGCTCCAAGATCACCACTCCAAAATCACCTGGGCTCCAAGATGGGGACTGCAGCCAAGAAATTAAAAGACGCTTGCTCCTGGGGAGGAAAGCTATGGCAAATCTAGACAGCATACTAAAAAGCAGAGACAACAAAAGTGCGTATAATCAAGGCCATGGTTTTCCCAATTGCAATGTATGGATGTGAAAGTTGGACCATAAGAAAGGCTGAACACAAAAGAATTGAGGCCTTTAAACTATGGTGCTGAAGAAGACTCCTGCGAGTCCCCTGGACCGCAAGGTGATCAAACTGGTCAGTCCTAGAGGAGATAAACCCTGACTGCTCTTTAGAAGGCCAGATCCTGAAGTTGAAACTCAAGTACTTTGGCCACCTAATGAGAAGGACAGACTCACTGGAGAAGAGCCTAATGCTGGGAAAGATTGAGGGCAATAGAAGAATGGCACGACAGAGAATGGGGTGGCTGGATGGAGTCACTGAAGCAGTAGGCGTGAGCTTAAATGGACTCCAGAAGATGGTAGAGGACAGGAAGGCCTGGAGGAACGTTGTCCATGGGGTTGCGATAGGCTGGATAAACTTCGCAACTAACAATAAGGTGACCAACCATCCTCCTTTAGGGAGGACGGTCCTCCTTTTGTAAGTTCTGTCCTCCCTCAAAAAGTGTCCTCCTTGAGCTTCCGGTCTGAGGCGACGGCGATGGCGGCTAGCTTTTAGCCGTCCAGCTGGGGAAGTGTCAGAGCCGCGGAGCGCAGCGTGCATCAGCTGGCCCGCGGCTCGGAAATCCCTTCCCGGGCAAAGGGAAGGGACAGAGAGTGCAGGGATAGAGGTAGAACCCCTGAACCCCCTCTGGATTTGTTTCTAGAGGGGTGAAAGGAGTGTTCCCTCGGAGCTCCTGCTGATCTCCGCCTCCCAGCTGTTTTTGCTTCCTAGGAAGCAAAAGAAACCGCCGCTTCTATCTCCGTGTTTATAGCATTCTGGTGAGTAATTTTTAAACGGACGGAGCAGTTTAAAGGATTTTTTGTTATAATTTAGGTGTTTAATTTTTTTATTTTTTGATTTCTACTATTATTCCTCCTTTTTTTGTTATATTAGTGAAAGGATTTAAGATGGCGCTTTGAAAGTGTCGGAGTTTTTTTTCCTTTCTCTTTTGTTTTACTTTCCCTTTTTAAGGATTGGTTTTTGCCTTTACTTTTGCTTTTGGCTTAGAATTTTTTCTTTTGAATTGTTTGCTCTTTTATTTTTTATTTTTTTGGATTTACTCTGGACTTTCAAGGACTATAGTTTGTCTCTTTTTAAAAATTCTTTTCTTTTTTTTTTCCCTCCTCCCTTCCTGGCTGGAGGGGAAAGGGAAGTGACAATTGTGTTTTTTAAAATGGCTTCAAAGAGGCAGCAGCCTTCCTCAATATCTAAGGTTATTTCTTCTCCTATAACTTCCACTGCACAGCTACAACAACAATCTAAACATGTACCACCGGCTCAGCCACCACCCTCCCCTCCTCTATCTGGACTTTCAGCACAAGAGGTTAGAGGCATAATGTGAGAGATTGTAGTTCAAATGAGAGAGGAAATGAATCAATTTGTCTCACAGATTAAATCAGAAATTAAATCTGATCTCAAAGAAGAGATAACGGGGATAAAGACTAAATTGCAAGAAAACAATAATGAATTACGACAAGATATACTGGCAGCTGTTTCAGGTTTGGCTACTGTGGTGGTTAAGCTCGATGCAAGGCTTGAGGAAGTGGAAGACAAAGTTGACTCTTTGGATGATAAAATTCAAGATGTGGAAAGGAAGGTGGACTCCTCACAAGAAGATATTTTGATGTTTCAGTACAGACAAATGGAGTATGCCCTGAGGATCAGAGGCCTCAAGGAAGATGTGAATCAAGATCTTGTGGAGGTGGTCCTTACTGATCTGGCGCTGGCCTTGGATATGGATAAAGGAGAATTACAGAGAGAAGTGGAAAAAATTTATAGGCTCAACTCTTGGATTGCTAAGCAGAAGAATTTGCCTAGAGATGTGGTGATTTATTTTACAAAGAAGTCCCTGCGGAATGAGATTATACAAGCTTTTTACAATAAAAGATTTCAGATTGCTGCCCAAGATGTCATCATTTTAAAGGAAATCCCATCAAAAATTTTAAGAAGCAGGAAAGACTTTGCTTTTTTAACCAATGAGCTTAAAGCTAGATCGATGCCATTTAGATGGGAAATTCCGATGGGTATTGTTTTGAGCCATGCTGGGACACGCTACAGATTGAACACAGTTGACAAAGCTAGAGACTTTTATACTTCGGTCCTGGGTGCAGGCTCAACTTCATCTGGTCGGAAATCTCTGAGTGGCAAGGAAGTTGAGCAGCAATCTGAGGCATTAGATTTGGTTTCCGCTGGGATGATAGAAGCTGTAAAGCAACGCCAGACTGAGGTTAAAGAGCAGAGGATGACCCGTGCAGCCTATAAGCGTAAAGAGAAGGAGCAACGTAAAAAAGAGCCTAAAGAGAGTTCTCCTGGAAGTGCATCACCGCCGGTGGTAGGAGCAAGACCCAAGAGTTATGCAACACACGCAGCTCTTTCAGAGTTTGATGGTGTCTTCTCCAGGCTGCGTGCCCAGGGAGATGGCAAAGTTTTTGACCTGGAATGTTAATGGATTGAATTCTCCTCAGAAACGCAAAAAAATCTTTTATTATTTGAAGCAACATACTAATGATGTTATTTGATTACAGGAAACTCATATTTTACTTAAAGATCAGAAATATTTAGTTAATGCTCGTTTGGGATCTCATTTTATATCTTCTGCTCCTGGGAAGAAAGGGGGAGGTGTTATATATGTTAAACAAAACCTACCAGCCTGTCTGGTAGAATCAGATCCCCAGGGGAGATATGTGATGATTGAACTTGGTATTTATGGTAAGAAAATACTTATAGTTGGACTTTACGCTCCAAATCAACAACAGGAACAATTTTATAAGCAGTTACATCAAAAAATAACATTGTTTGATTATAGATCAGTGGTATTAATGGTTGATTGGAATGGTGTCCTAGATACACAAAGGGACAAGAAAGGTTCCTCTCCTTTTCTCAAACAAGCAAGGCTACCTAAAGCCTTTTTTGATATGAAAGAAGACTGGGAATTAAGGGATTACTGGCGGGAACGTAACCAAGAGGAGAGAGACTTTACTTTTTTTTCTGATAGACACCAATCTTTTTCAAGAATTGACTTTTTCTTGATTACCACGGACTTGTATAATAAAGTAAAGAATGTAAAGATTTTTCCTAGATCACTGACGGATAATAGTCCAGTTTGGATGGAGCTGATTCAAGAGAAAGAGGAAAGAAGATCCTGGAGAGTTAATGAAAATTTGTTTAGACAAGAGAAGAATGTTCAAAATCTAAAGGAGTGTTTAAAGGACTATTTTGCTTTGAATATGTACAAGGGGACTTCAATGTCAATGGTATGGGATGCAGGTAAAGCATTTATGCGCGGTGTTTTGATAAAAATGAATAATTTTTATAAGCGAAATCAGATTCAGAAACGTAGAGAACTTGAGGATGAAATTAAATTAAAAGAAAGGGCTTTGATTCTAAATCCTTCTGATGAAAGTACTAAAGAATCTGTAAAGTTATTAAGGTCACAATTTAATATGTTGATAGCAGATCAAGCTGCAACCAACTTATTATTTATGAAACAAAATACATTTTGTAATGCTAATACGCCGGGGAGATGGTTGGCTTATCAATTAAGAAAGAAACAGAGACAGAGAATAATAGAGAAAATAAATTACAAGGGTAAACTAGTTTCTCAGAAGGAATTAATTAAAAAATCTTTTTTGGATTATTATCAAAACTTATATAAATCTACTAATGTACAATTGTTAGATATAAATAAATATTTAGCTGAGGCAAGTTTTCCTAAATTGACTGAGGATCAGAAATATGAAATTAATGGATTAATTACTAAGGAGGAAATTGCCTCAGCAATTCAACAATTGAAATTAGGGAAAGCACCGGGTACGGATGGCTTAACAGCTGTTTATTATAAAGCTTTAATGGAGGAGATGATCCAACCATTAAATGATCTTTTTAATGGTATCTTACAGGGTTTAGAGATTCCTCCTTCGTGGCGTAGTGCTTTTATATCATTGATTCCAAAGGAGGATCAAGATCTTACTTTACCAAAAAATTATAGGCCTATATCTCTTTTAAACGTGGATTATAAGATATTTGTAAAAATTTTGGTAAATAGGCTTATGAGGGTGTTGCATCATCTTGTGCATAAAGATCAATCAGGGTTTATAACAGGAAGGTATATGAAAAACAATGTTAGACAAATTATTAATCTATTAGAATACTTAGATAAGAACAACCAAGTTACTGCAGGGCTCATATTTTTAGATGCTGAAAAAGCATTTGACCAATTGAATTGGCATTTTATGCTAAGAGTAATGGAAGAAATGAATTTTGGTGAAAACATATTACAAGCCCTTAAGGTAATATATCAAAAACCAACAGCACAACTTATTGTTAATGGAGGTTTGTCGGAGGTTTTCACAATAGAGAAAGGTACTAGACAGGGGTGTCCTTTATCGCCATTGTTGTTTGTTTTAACATTGGAAATATTAGTGATCAAAATTCGAGAGTCTCAGGAAATTAAAGGAATATATGTTAATAAAAAAGAATATAAGTTAAGAGCTTTTGCGGATGACTTGGTTGTTACTTTGTCGCAACCTGATTATTCTGTAGTAAACTTATTACAGTTGATTCATCATTATGGCTTGGTCTCGGTTTTCAAGATTAATGTAAATAAGACCAAAATTTTACCTAAAAATATGTCTAGTCAGGAGAAGCAGATTTTGACTAACCTGACGGTTTTTGAGATTGTTAATAAGGTAAAATATTTGGGGGTGATGTTGTCTGTTTCTAATGTAAAATTATTTAAAAATAATTATGAAAGGTTGTGGGTCAGGGTACAGAACGACTTGAAGAACTGGGAAAAGTTGCAATTATCCCTCATGGGAAGAATTGCAGTGATAAAAATGAATATTTTACCCAAGTTTCTTTTTCTGTTTCAAATGTTTCCAATTTTGAAAAATGAGATTAATTTAAATGAGTGGCAGAAGGGTCTTAATAAATTTATCTGGGCAGGGAAAAAGCCAAGGGTTAAGTTTAAAATTATGCAATACTTCCGTGAGAGGGGTGGACTTAAGGTACCAAATTTGAAATTATATTATGATGCGGTGGTTTTAACACTAATCAGTGATTGGGTAAATTTGACAAACTCTGAGATACTTTATCTAGAGGGATGGGACTTACTTTATGGGTGGCATGCCTATTTAATATTCAATAAAAAAATGGATTGGACTTTTAAATCTCATATCTTAATAATCTCTTTACTTAGGATTTGGAGAAAATATTATAAAAGTGATTTCAAAGTACCATTATGGGCTATACCTTGGCATGCGATAGAAGCAATACAAAGAGGGGTTAAAATGGATATGGTGTCTTACAGACAGTTACTTAAATGGGATGGACAAAACTGGCAATTAAAATCACGGGAAGAGTTAGCACAAGAAAACTTTATTTATTCTTGGTTCCAATATAGGCAATTATTAGACAGATGGAAGATGGAGTGTAAGGTGGGTTTTCTTAGAGAAGATGAAAATCTTATCAAGCAAGTGAAGGATTCAAGACAAACCCACATTAAGAGAATGTATGCGGTTTTAGTTGAATTGGATTCAGAAACGGAACTAATTAAAGATTGTATGATAAGATGGGCGCAGAATTTTGGTGAGCCAGTTTCATTGGACACCTGGGAAAAAATTTTGGTGAGAAATGTCAAATTTACACAAGCACAGAATTTAAGGGAGAATTTTTATAAAATGTTTTATAGATGGCACCTTGATCCACAAAAAATGTCTTATATGTACCCTGACGTGCAACCCAAATGTTGGAGATGTGGTTATAAGGAGGCTTTCTATTATCATATTTGGTGGTCATGCAGAGAGATAAAAGCATTTTGGATCAAAGTATGGTGGAATATCCAGAGAATTTTTAGAAGGAGGGTAAAATTTACTCCGCAATTATTTTTGTTAGGTATTGTTACAGATTGTGATACAAAGGAGTTGTATTGATGTTAAATTTGATTACAGCCGCTAGGCTGTTAGTAGGACAATATTGGAAGAAGGAATCCTTGCCTACATTGCAGGAATGGTTTCTTAAAGTAGCTTATCTGGCGGAAATGGCACAGATCTCGGCTTTCTTAAAGCAACAAACGCAAGAGAAGTTTTTTGCTGTTTGGGATAAATGGATAAAATTTATACAATTTAGATTGGGTATACAAAAATATTAGATAGTTTTTTCATAAGTTTTATTTTTATATATATTATAGATAATCTTTTTATATATATAAATATAAAGTTTTTAATTTAATTTTTATTTTTACTTTTTAAGCCTATATTCTGCTCTGGGAAGCTCAGGGGGGGGGAAGGGAGGGGGGGGTTTTTGGGAGGGGTGGTTTTTTTTTTTTTATATATGTATTGTTTAGTTTTATTTTTTTGTATATGTTGTCTCTTGTTTTGTATTCTTTTTTCTTTTTTGTAAAATTTATAAAATTTTTAATAAAAAAAAAAAAAGTGTCCTCCTTCATGTCCTCCTTTTCGATATTTGAAGACTAATCTGCAAGGCTTTTTTTTCCCTCATAGAATGCTCAGAACGGCGTTCTGGCACCTTTTTTTAATGTTTTTTTTTTTCAACTTTTACAGGAGCTGTGCTACTCCCACTATTGGCTTTCGAAAGCCAATAGGAATTGCTGCTCAGCACGCCAAAACACCCGAATGGCAAACTTTGCACATGCAAGTTGTCTGTATTATTGTTGTAATGAATAAAATGTTTCTTTTATTTACGATATTTTTTTCTTCAATTTATTTGTGTCCTCCTTTTCATTGTAAAAAAGTTGGTCACCTTACTAACAACAACAACAAAGGGATGAAAAACATAAGATGTGACGCCTTTTTCTAAAATCAAATTCATACATTTGCCTTTGGTACATATTGCTGTTTGCTTTTCTATCTTCTTTAGATCTTGCTGATTCAAGAATTTTTCATTTTTAAATTACAAATCTACACAATAGTTAAGGACAACATTAAATGCCTTTGGACCCCATGTTGCACAACTCCTACCCTTTTAAAAGCTAATGTGGCCCTGAAACTGGAGTTATCTTCATTGTCATAACTCTTCTTACCTCTGCAGAACTACTGTGTCAGGGTTTGAGAACAACCAAGAAATTGCACAATGACAAACCAAAGGATTTCCATAGAGGTTGACAGAAAGGGTGTGCGATGAAGTAAGATTCCATGGGCTGAAGGTGTTCAAGTTACAGCTAGGAAAAAAACAAAATGAAAGAAATAGGAAACTGAATATCCGAATTACAGGTATTCCTCAACTTACATCACTTCATTTAGTGCAGTGGTTCTCAACCTGTGGGTCAGGACCCCATTTGGGGTCGAACGACCATTTCGCAGGGGTCGCCAAACAACGCAGTCCGCCATTCCCCCCCCCCCTTTTCCTTAGCTGTGCTACTCCCTTTTATTCTATTGGCTTTTGAAAGCCAATAGAATAGACTCTCTTGAATAGAGTCTAATTCTATTGGCTTTCAAAAGCCAATAGGAATTGTCCAGGCTGTCTCTGCCCTGCTGAGCCCGCCAAAAGTCCCATTCTGCAAACGGTGCTGCACCAGTTGAGTAGTCCTCGACTTACGACCGGTTGAGTAGTCCTTGACTTACGACCGGTTGGGGGTCGCGGCATTAAAAAGGTTGAGAACCACTGATTTTGAAATTATAATGGCCTAGAAAAAAGTGACCTAATGACTGTTTTTCACACTTACGCCCTTGCAGCATCTCCATGGTCACATGACCAACATTCAGACACTTGGCAACTGACTCATACTTATGACGGTTCCAGTGTCCTGGGAGTCAGGTGATCCCCTCTTGCAACCTTCTAACAAGCAAAGTCAATGAAGAACCCGATTCACTTAACAACCGTGTTACTAACTTAACAACTGCAGTGATTCACTTAACGACTGGTAAGAAAAGTCATAAAATGGAGCAAAACTCACTTTAACAACGGTCTCTCTTAGCAAAAATTTTGGACTCAATTGTGGTCATAAGTCGAGGACTACCTGTATTGTTCGCTTTACTATCATAAATGGTGGAGGGAGATTGTATTATATGCTTTTTTCTCTCTGTTATACATCTGTCCACTCTGCAGCCTCCTTGATTTTCTGATATGAAATACAAGTTGTCTCATGAAATTTCTGTTTGGGATTTATCTTGAGCTTATTGAAGCACATGTGGCTGGAGATTGTTGGAAAGATGATTATAAAATGAAATATGATTTCTCTTTAGTAATGATTATCAAAGGGGAGCCCCCTCCCACCAATTTTTTTTCTTCATGTTTGATAAAACATACAATTTATTTTCTATCAAATACAGCAGCATTTTTACAGGAGCATATATATGATGAAAAAGACCAGATGATTCAACTATATCCTTATAGCTGAATCAATGTCATTACAAATTTCACTTAATACATTAAGGAATGAAGTCATTTAGAAGGAGGGTTGTGATGAGGTTCATCCAACCTGACGTCTTTTAGATATGTCAGTCCAACCATTTTTCATCCCCAGTCTATACCGTGAATTGGTTAAGCAAAATTGTCTTTGTAGCCCAATAGATTTAAAGGGAGGCATTTGAAAGCTCAATTAAGATAGACCCCCCCACACACCAGTAAGTAGACACAGGAACTCTTACTTTTTAAATATTAGGAAGGCCACACGAGGTATGTGATGGAATGACTCGGTTTCCACTAGACTCAGTGCATGGGAATCTTGGCAGTTCAATTCTCTTAGCATGGGCACATCGCGGAAAACAGCTGGATCCAGTCTTCTTAGTTTAGGCATTTGTGTTAGATAGAAGGAGGTGAGCTGAGGCAGATCTTTGATCCAGTCCTCGTGAACTAGGAAGGAGGAGGAGGAGGAGGTCAGATCAAACAAAGGATAGACTTAAGGGGATACTGACTTGAAAGCATGGGTGGGGCCTGTGGACCTCAAGATGCTGAAATTATCAGTGGAATTTCTAATGAATACTCACCTGGAGGACACAATCTTCCTTACTTCCTTTTGTATGTTCAGCCATCTGCATCTGACAATATTTTAAAAGCAGACTGTTTTGCAACCACAATAAAAAAAGAAATAATTCTGTGAAGAAGGAATTGGTTCTAAGGTCATTACTTGCCTTTCTGTCTCCTTACTGTATGTTTTAGGTAGATATGAACAGAGAGCTTTTGAATAATTATTAATGAGTGTGCTGACTGATATCAAGGATGCTTCATCATAATCATCATATTAAAATACAGTTTAGAGAATAAACGGAAGCTGTTCAATCATGAATAATCTCTGGATCAAATCAGACATCCCTGCCAAGAGCCATCCATTGGTAGATTCTAATGCTCACAAGTGACCATGGTGGATAAGGCTGTGGGAACGGTAATTCAAACTACCTGTTGACATCAGGTTGCTTATTTTGTTCTGTATTGTAAATGAGATACACAATAAACAGTAAGCCACTGTAAAAGTACATATATAGACAAATGCCCTATGGGGTAAAAAAAACTTAGCAAAAGACTCCTAAAATGCAGGCATCGGAATGGGAAATACTAAATTTACCCATTCTTGGTTTTTAAAAGTGAAACTAAATGCTGCTTTCCTAAACTCTCCTAAGAGAGTTTAATATTGTTTTAAATATTAAATATTGAACATTACTTTTGAATAGTTATGTAGATTTATTGTAAATGTTTAAATGTAATGTAAGTAGTATTTATTAGGGATCTTTTAAAACAATATTAATCTCATTTGTACACATTAATGATTATTACAGATAGTCCTCGATTTACAACAATTCATTTAGTGACCGTTTGAAGTTACAAGTGGCACTGAAAAAAGTGACTTATGGCCGTATTTCACACTTACAGCATCCCCATGGTCATGTGATCAAAATTTGGATGCTTGACAACTGATTCATATTTATGACAGTTGCAATCATATGGGTCATGTGATCACCTTGGGTGACCTTCTGACAAGCAAAATCAATGAGGGAAGCCAGATTCACTTAACAACGGTGTTACTAAATTAACAACTGCAGTGATTCACTTAACAAGGAAGGTCATAAAATGGGGCAAAATTCACTTAACAACTTAGCAACAGAAATTTGGGGCTCAGTTGTGGTTGTAAGCTGAGGACCACCTGTATTGTTTTGTCTTGAAAAAGTGAAAGACGTCTCTCAAATGGGAAATTCACCCCAAAAATTAATGTTGTCTATGTATTCAAATTTCAGCCCTTAGAATGCAAATTCTAAGTTTCCAATTAAAACTGAATGCAGGTGTATTATGGATTGCCCATTATCCCCAGGCAAGGTAAGTTAAGAAATGTAGTTTAGCATGGTTAGAAGTTATAACTTTGGGAAAGACCTTGTTTTGCCAAAGTCTTCAGTCAGATTGTAGAAAACTTTATGATCACATTTTACACCCACCTCTCCCACCCCATCCAGTTTGCTGTTTCTCAGCTTAAATTTTAACACTTACTCCTCTCCAGGAAGGTTGCGCTGAGGTCCAGGACACCGATCGGAGCTTTTCTGGCTTCTTCAGTGGACTCTGGGTGGCGGGACAAGTTCATTGCAAAAGCAGATTCCAGAATTCCCATTTTCCCATCTTTTCCCAGCCACGTGGACGACAAATTCAGGAAATGCAGCTGAGGATAGCAGGAGAAAGCGAACGGCTGGATCTCTCTGATAGGGTTTCCCGCTAGAGACAACCACCTCAGATTGTCCAAAGAAGTAACGCAGGCAGGTACAATTGAGAGCAAATTGAAGCTCAGATCCACAAACTGAAGACTACTGAGGTTTCCAGTCCCCCATATCACCCTGTGGATCTGATTTTCTCTCAAGGAGAGGATTCGCAGTTTGGGCAAATAAGCCACATCTTGGCCATTTAGTTCTGGCAAAAGATTGAGACTCATATCCAGATGTTCCAGAAGCTCTGGCAGACATTCAGGGAAGGAAGTGAGATTTTGATTCTGCATATGCAAGATGATTGATGTCTGGTTCTTCAGCTCCCCACAAGGCAAGCTAGTAAGATTTATGTTTTCCTCCCAGACACTGTGCTGAACCTGCTGGAATGGGGCTTTGACATCTTCTGGTATGGTAGGAGTTGCCTTCTCTGTGGGCTTAGCACTGATGATTCTGACAAGCAAAACTACACAGGCCAGGAAGCTGGACATTGTGATCCTTTAAAAGCACCCTGGGTATAAAGATGGAGCTGTTTTCAAAGGATAGGCTAAGGGAGGAAAACAATACTGAGTGCTACCAAAAGTTATTTCCCATAGAATTACCTTCTATTTTACAATGTCTATTCATTAAAATATCATAAGAACCTGACCTTATAGTGGGAAGACGAAAAAAATGCAGTTGGATTTGGTCTTGAAATCCAGAGGCTCTCTTAACTGGCAGATTTATTTGTTTTATCCTGCCTTTATTACTTTTATAAATAGATCAAGGCGGTGAACATACACAATACTCCTCCCTCCTATTTTTCCTATAATCACCACGTGAGGGTGCATTGAATCACCCTACATCTTCATACATACATTTACATGTATGTAACTAAACAAAAGGGAAAGAAGAGACTGCCTGGTTCAAATTCAACCAGCTGGCTTTCATGCAGGACTAGAATTCATGGGCTCCTCGTTTCTAGACCATCACCAAACTGACTTATCCACTATTTATCCAATTAGTTACTCTCTCTTCAGTCAGACTATGTACAGACACATACTATATATGACTATCCATTTATAAGTATGTTCTAGGGAATGCAACTGACTTTGCTGTACTATTTAATAAGGTTAAACCTGCCTTGCAATTTCTCAAAAGTTTCCCTTCTTTGGAAAAAGGCTTTTTGTTTTTTTACTCTGTTCTTGGGAGCTCATAAACTTTTACATTCTTTTGCAAATTTGAGCAAACTTTATAGTTGAAGGTGGCGGCATGGATTACAGCTGGCTTATTCTTTGTATATCTGCACATCCTTTCTTCATTCTGAAACATCCACACATCATAAAGTAAAAGCAATACTCTCCTAATGCTTTCTTTGGGGTTTTAATGGCAGTACAGAAATCCAGCAAGATGGTAAACTGCTGAAAAGAGGATTATCCAATGTGGCTGGCCAATCATACATATATAAGTATAAGAGCACCCCCCCCAGGTCTCCATTTCTAAAGTAAATTCTCTTAAATTGAAAAAGGCAGGCAGCTTGTTTTGTGTGCACTGGAATAAATACATTTTAGATGTTTTATCAATGTATTGACTGTTGTAAAGTCAACAACACATTCTACCAACACCAAAGGGATGGTTGTTGTTCAACAGCAATGCCGCACAGCCTCCAGCAGCCGGCAGCCACAAATTTGCCACCAGCCCCAAAGGTTGATTTTGCATCCCCCTTCGCAATGTTCTGAAAATCGGACTTTGTCTCTACTGAAACAAATCTTGTGGATGAGGCCTGCGTCTGAAAGTTCAATATCAACTATCTCACCAGGCTTCTTGTTCAAAAAGCAAGCCTCAGTCCTTCTGCGGGACACGAGGCCGAGAACAATGCCAGTAACATTCAGCCACTTGCCTGGAGCAAGAGAAGATGGGACACACTTGCAGAACTCCCCTTTAAGGTGGAAGCGAGAAGACCTCACCTTTGCAGCCCTATTGTCAGCTCCACCTGAGTCAATCTCCTCTTTCATTTAGCCAGATTAGATCTTGACCACCACCCTACTCTGGAACAAGGGGAAACATCCTGGCTTCCTCTTCGCCATCAGTCTGTTTGTACTTACCTGGCAGCGCAGAGCGTCTTGGGGAGAGGTACGGCGTCGGCCCCTCTCCCTGATTTCCCAGCACTTGCTTTATGCATTCCAGTGACTCAGAGCTGACGCACTAGTGGCTGTGCTCGCTTGCTCCTGGCCCCTTCGCCCCCCCCCCCCAAACTAAACCCCGAGTGTCTGTTACTGGATGTGAGAAATGTGTTGTTTTACATCTCCCCAGATGCCAGCCGGGCCAGCCCACTCCCTCTGTAGCCTCATTCCCCCCCCCCCAACACCCCTCTTCGAGCGGAGGTGGGCAGCTCCATTCAGCAGCTAGTAGTTGCTTCCTGTCTGGCCGGCTAGCTGACCGGCTTGGGTGAGGAGAAAGAAGTAGCATCGTTGCCTTCTGCAGCCCCGAGAGAAAGAGGTGGGCAGCAGAGGGAAGATGAAAACTTGGTGGGGAAGGTCTGCTGGTAAGTTTTCCTCCCCAAAGAAACCAAATATCTTGTTTCAGCTTCCCCGCAGCTGTTCATAAAGGAACAAATTGCATTATGGCGGAGGGTTTGTATGAACTCTGCTAATAGTTATATAGTCAACAAACTATGGCTAAGCAGACAATTTTTATTTCTTTATTTCTATACTTTTCTCCTGCCTTTATTATTTTTGTAAATAACGCAAGGCGGTGAACATATTTCATACTCCTTCCTCCTATTTTCTCCACAACAACAACCCTGTGCAGGTGGATTGGGCTGAAAGGGAGTGACTAGCTAGGCCAGGGGTAGGCAACCTTGGCTCTTTTATGACTCATGGAGTTCAACTCCCAGAATTCCTGAGCCAGTATGGCTCAGCTTGGAAATTCTCCCTTTCCCCTCAGCATGGTTGGCTCAGGAATTCTGGGAGTTGACTCCACGAGTCATAAAAGAGCCAAGCTTGTCTACCCCTCTTCTAGTGGTTAAGGCACCCAACTGGCTTTCATGCTTAAGGCAACACTGGAACTCACAGTCTCCTGGTTTCTGATCTGGTACCTTCACTACTAAACCAAACTGGTAAGAAGTGAATTGTGGGATCAATGTAGGAATGCAGTTTGCAAATGCAAGCAACAAGCTTTATAATGAGCAAGTGCAATGAGCCCCCATCATTTTATAATGAAAGGGAGAAAAAAAAAGAAAGATGGTTAAAAAGATACTAGGCCCTTACTCATATATATATATATATATATATATATATATATATATATATATATATATATATATATATATATATATATATATATATTATAATAAAATATAAAAATGAACACTAGGGTAATAAAAACTAAAGAAGTTTTTAATGGGTTAAAACTATAAAAGTTTTAAAAAGTGCCAAGCTTTCGCCGTCACCTGCCGGCATCCTCAGGGCTGGCGTGCCAGAGAATGAGAAGGTCTTTTTATAGGCGTGCCGAGGTTTGCACTCGGCTCCTTGATCTTGTTATGGGGCCTGATTGGTTCAGCCGTGTGTAGTTGGCCTGCGCTTTTTTTCTCTTCTTAGTTGTATTTTTATCCTCGTCCGTCTCCAGTTCTCCCAACCTCAGATTAGCTGAATGGCAATTCCAGTTATTTCGGTTGCTTTCATGTTCCGATCTCCCCTCAGGCTTGGGTGGTGGTGGACGTTCCAAGTTCCTTTCTCCGCCCCGTTCTGTCCGGTTGCTACTTTTAGAGTCCCATATATTTCCGGTCTCAATGCTTTCGGTTTTAATATGTTTATCATCCTGGTAATCCCGTAAATTGTTACGAGTCTGGTATAGCATGGGGGGGTATTCCGCATGGTGGAGGGGTCGTCTCTTGTTCGTTGTCATGCCCAGCTGTCTCGCACGTGTCTTACTCCGAGTGCTTAATCCTGGGGGTGTGTGCATAGTCATCGGGGCGCGTCCCTCCTGGTTACCGTGTTCTTCCTTAGTTCTCCCCTTTTTTACCTTGTTGGAAGCGCTCGCGTATGTTCTATGGGAGTCCTCAGGATCGTCAGGTAGGGGGTATGACAGCTCGATCTCTCGCCCCCTGCCGCTCTCCGACTTTCCTTCCTCCTCTCCAATGGTATGTAGGGGTTCATCATCAACCACCTCCCATGGTTTGTCCTCATAGGAGCTGATCGTTCCAGCTACATGGGGAGGTTTTCTCCTCCTTTCCCGACCAGCTGCGATGTTTCTTTTGGTGTGTGGGCAGGCCATTGCGTTGGGTGATTCCTCCGCATTTCCACCTGCCGTATCTTCCCTCATCTCCTCTTTGTAGCCGGGGGTCCGGACCTTGGTTCCTGTCCCTCCCCTGATCTTCTGGGATTGCGGCAGTCCCGCGGGGATGGTCAAGGTGCCTCGCGTTTGCTTCCTTTCTTTTGAATTGCACCTGGTTCGTTGGGCGGTGCGGGTGCTACCCAGATTGTTATCAAGCCGTCGGGGGTGTTGCCGCCGATTATTGGCACTCCATGATCTTAAGGCTAAATAGGATGGGCATAGGTCAATGTGCCTATTAATAGACTTACTGTCTGAGAGCCATGCCTCTCTAAGAAGGCGGCCCCCTTTGGTGTTATCATTTGCCAATACACTGACGTCACTAAAGTTAAACTTATGGCCTAGATCCACCATATGGGCCCATATTTGGGAGTGACAGTCTCTCCTTCTCACTGCTAATTCGTGCTCATGGACCCTGGTCTTAATGCGTTTAGCAGTCTCCCCAGTATAATTACATTGGCAGTCCATACAGTCAATCCTATAGACGGCTGCTGATCTTTCGGTGCTGGGGAGCGGGTCCTTAGGGCGCATTATGGCCGCTCGCAGTGTTTGGTTGGGTCTATGGGCCACCTGTATTTTGTGTGGTGCCAGGATCCTAGCTGTGGCTTCCGATACGTTATGGATATAGGGGAGGGCAATACGTGTGGTGGCTTGAGGCACGGATTCTTGAGATGCAGGGTTACTCCGGAGTCCAGGTGGTCTCCTGAACTGATTAATGATTTTAACCGGGTAGCCGTTGCCTCTACATGTTCGGAAGAGGTGGTTTCTCTCTTCTTTTTTGGCTTTGACGGTGCTGCAGTGTGTCTCCACTCGTTTGAATAGCGTCCTGACACAACTGGCTTTATGGGCCATCGGGTGATTACTCCTAAAGTGGAGAATCCTCTCTGTACACGTTGGTTTTCGGTATACCCTGGTAGCTAGACATCCATCCACCTGGCGCTGCACTAGTACATCCAAAAATGCTAGACTGCCCTGATCTTCTTCCTCCATGGTGAATTGGATGTCCGGGTATACCGAATTCAGGATGCCCATAAATTCAGTTTTGTGTCTTTTCTTAATGACCGCAAACGTATCGTCCACATAGCGGGCCCAAAATTTTGGTTGGTATTGGGCCATCGCTATGTGTTCCAGCTGCTGGAGTACCATCTCTGCAACCACACTAGAGATCGGCGACCCCATAGGTGTTCCTTTAATTTGCTCATATATAACCCCCTGGAAGGTGAAGTAGGTGTTAAGACATATTTCCATGAGCTTTACCAAGTCCTCCGTTTGAAGGGAGTCCTGGTGTTGCCCATGGTCTCCTTGGTTAAGCCGGTCTCTTAGGACCTCAACCACAAGTTTCTGTGGGATGGACGTAAATAAAGAAACTACGTCAAAGGAGACCATGAGCTCATCCTCTTCTACCTTCAGGGTTTTTATTCTACCAACGTGTACAGAGAGGATTCTCCACTTTAGGAGTAATCACCCGATGGCCCATAAAGCCAGTTGTGTCAGGACGCTATTCAAACGAGTGGAGACACACTGCAGCACCGTCAAAGCCAAAAAAGAAGAGAGAAACCACCTCTTCCGAACATGTAGAGGCAACGGCTACCCGGTTAAAATCATTAATCAGTTCAGGAGACCACCTGGACTCCGGAGTAACCCTGCATCTCAAGAATCCGTGCCTCAAGCCACCACACGTATTGCCCTCCCCTATATCCATAACGTATCGGAAGCCACAGCTAGGATCCTGGCACCACACAAAATACAGGTGGCCCATAGACCCAACCAAACACTGCGAGCGGCCATAATGCGCCCTAAGGACCCGCTCCCCAGCACCGAAAGATCAGCAGCCGTCTATAGGATTGACTGTACGGACTGCCAATGTAATTATACTGGGGAGACTGCTAAACGCATTAAGACCAGGGTCCATGAGCACGAATTAGCAGTGAGAAGGAGAGACTGTCACTCCCAAATATGGGCCCATATGGTGGATCTAGGCCATAAGTTTAACTTTAGTGACGTCAGTGTATTGGCAAATGATAACACCAAAGGGGGCCGCCTTCTTAGAGAAGCATGGCTCTCAGACAGTAAGTCTATTAATAGGCACATTGACCTATGCCCATCCTATTTAGCCTTAAGATCATGGAGTGCCAATAATCGGCGGCAACACCCCCGACGGCTTGATAACAATCTGGGTAGCACCCGCACCGCCCAACGAACCAGGTGCAATTCGAAAGAAAGGAAGCAAACGCGAGGCACCTTGACCATCCCCGCGGGACTGCCGCAATCCCAGAAGATCAGGGGAGGGACAAGAACCAAGGTCCGGACCCCCGGCTACAAAGAGGAGATGAGGGAAGATACGGCAGGTGTAAATGCGGAGGAATCACCAAACGCAATGGCCTGCCCACACACCAAAAGAAACATCGCAGCTGGTCGGGAAAGGAGGAGAAAACCTCCCCATGTAGCTGGAACGATCAGCTCCTATGAGGACAAACCATGGGAGGTGGTTGATGATGAACCCCTACATACCGTTGGAGAGGAGGAAGGAAAGTCGGAGAGCGGCAGGGGGCAAGAGATCGAGCTGTCATACCCCCTACCTGACGATCCATAGAACATACGCGAGCGCTTCCAACAAGGTAAAAAAGGGGAGAACTAAGGAAGAACACGGTAACCAGGAGGGACGCGCCCCGATGACTATGCACACACCCCCAGGATTGAGCACTCGGAGTCAGACACGTGCGAGACAGCTGGGCATGACA